GACAGAGGTGGCAAGTGGTGTCCCTCAGGGGTCTGTTCTGGGACCTGTGATCTTTGTCTGCAGGTAGCACGGTCCTCTAGGGCAAAAACATGCACAGTCTTTCAATGCAACTTCATTCCAGGCACTTTATTTGTAAGTTTACATATGAGGCAGCAGCAAATGAAAATATAAATATAACAGGTTTCCCTTTAAACAAAAACCTAGCTCGTCTGAGCACTGACTCACTTTGTATATCCCTCTCTATCAGGGTTAAACTAACAAAAACATATTGCACCAGCCTTATTAGATGGCAACACTCTGCTAGCTAGCCTGTTGCTTTCCTTTCTGCACTCCCAGTGCTCCAAGCCAGCCTTGCCCTGACTGCTTTCCTTTCTGCACTCCCAGTGCTCCAAGCCAGCCTTGCCCTGACTGCTTTCCTTTCTGCACTCCCAGTGCTCCAAGCCAGTCTTGACTGCTTCCTCCGGCACTCCCAGTGCTCCAAGCCAGCCTTGACTGCTTCCTCCTGCACTCCCAGTGCTCCAAGCCAGCCTTGACTGCTTCCTTTCTGCACTCCCAGTGCCTAGTCTCCTTGACTCTATCTGGAGAGAACAGCCTCTCTCCTACCTGCTTCCTGGGAGGAAGCCAGCAATTCCCCCCCTTCACCTGGCTAGCAGGGAGGGGTTTATTCCCACTGCAACAGCTCATTAACTGCAGCTGAGCAGTGGGTTGGAGACGGTCCAAAAAACCCTGGCCTGGATCTATGTCTCCCCAGAAAACCACTAAACTGTGGAGTGGAGCATTGGCCCACCCTTCTCTCCAAATGCTCCACCCCAGGGGCCCATAACTAAACAAAGCTTTGTGTTGTGCAACACACAAACTACACGTACTTCCCCTGCCTTCACTTTATCACAGACCCCTTCTATTTAACATGTTTATAAATGATCTTGAAAAAAGCATTAGAAGTCATGTTTCAGTGTTTGCAGATGACACACAACTCTGTAAAGTAATACAATGTGAGCAAAATATTACTTTGCTGCAGAGGGATTTAGATAGACTGGGGAACTGGGCACTCAAATGGCAGGTAAAATTTAATGTTGAAAAATGCAAAGTTATGCGTAAAGAATACACAAGCAACTTGTACCCTTATTGGAAGCGAATTAGGGATAACAACACACGAAAAGGACTTGGGAATTGTTATAGACAACAAACTATGCAACAATGTGCAATGTCAATCAGCAGTGGCTAAGGCCAGTAAGGTATCGTCATGCATGAAAAAGGGCATTTATTCTCGGGGTGAGAATATCATTTTGCCTCTTTGTAAATCACTGGTAAGACCCCATATTGAATATGCTGTGCAATTTTGGGCACCTGTTCTAAAGAAGGATATTATGGCACTAGAAATAGTGCAGAGGCGGGCTACAAAATTAATAAAAGGAATGGAACATATCAGCTATGAAGAAAGGTTAACAAATTTATACCTATTTAGTTTAGAAAAACATCACCTGAGAGGGGATATGATAACATTATACAAATATATTCGGGGCCAATGTAAACCATTGTGTGGAAATCTATTCACAAACCGAACTTTACATAGGACACGAGGCCATGCGTTTAGACTGGAAGAAAGAACATTTCATCTTAGGCAATGGATTTTTTACTGTAAGAACAATAAGGACGTGGAATTCTCTGCCTGAAGAAGTGGTTTTATCAGAGTCCATACAGATGTTCAAACGGCTACTAGATGCATACTTGCAAGAACAGAATATTCAAGGATATAATCTTTCAATGTAGGGTAATAACTGCTTGATCCAGGGATAAATCCGACTGCCATTCTGGGGTCAAGAAGGAATTTTTTTCCTAGCTTGTTGCAAAATTGGAAGTGCTTCAAACTGGGTTTTTTTGCCTTCTTTTGGATCAACAGCAAAAACCAAATGTAAGGAATGCTGAACTTGATGAACGCAAGTCTCTTTTCAGCTATGTAACTATGTAACTATAGAATCTGGGACGTTTTCTCTTCCTGGGCTTCTTTGAGGGATGTCTCGATCCAGAGTCGTTCCACAGGGAATATCTTATACTTTCTTCAGTCCGGTCTTGAGAAAGGTCTGAGCTACAACACCTTAAAGGTTCACGTATCTGCCTTGTCAGCTTTGACTAACCACAAATGGGCCTTTGATTCGGATGCGGCCAGGTTTCTTAAAGCTGTACTAAAAATCAGACCTCCGATTAAGCCGTTCGCTCCACCTTGGGACTTGCCTCTGCTTCTCCAAGCTCTAAAGTCTCACCGTTTTGATCCTTTGGATTCAGTGCCTTTCCATTTGCTCTCCATTAAAACTGCCTTACTGGTGGCTTTGGCCTCAGGCAGAAGGGTCTCAGTGCTCATGCTCTGTCGGTCAAGGAGCCTTTTTACAGTCTTCCACAAGGACAGGGCTGTCCTTCGTACTATCCCAGAATTTCGGCCTAAGGTCACCTCCGCCTTTCACATTATCGAGGAAATTGTTCTCCCAGCTTTGCATTCGTTCCACAAGTAGATGGTGATGACAGAGATCTTTCCTCCTTGGATTTGGTGAGATGCCTCAGAATCTACATTGACAGAACCGCCCCTTGGCGTTCATCTCCAGGCCTCATTGTCCTTTATAACGGATGTAGAAAGCGCAATCAGGCTCCTAAATCTACTATTAGCAGATGGATTGTTTCAGCCATGATCCAAGCTTATCAGGCCTCGAAAGCTCCAGTCCCGCATGGACTCAAAGCTCATTCCACGAGATCCCTTTCCTCCTCTTGGGCCTCCTCTGCCAAGGTCTCTCCTGAACTGATTCGTAGAGCTGCCACTTGGTCCTCTGCCACTACTTTCATCAGACATTATCAAGTGGATATCTGAGCCAGTCATTCGGACCAATTTGCTAAAAGTGTCCTTTCTGTATGAAACCCTTGATTCCTGAAGTTTTGGTGTTTGTCACTTGGTTTGTGGTACCAATACACTTTGCATATGATATTTTGGAGTCTGTGGTTATTGCTTGAGTATTACCCATTGTTGTGCTGCCAGTGATATGGCCAGGAAAAGGGAAAATGTATCCATACTTACCGTAATTTTCTATCCTGGTCATATGCCATGGCAGCACAACGGGGGGCAAATAGTCACGTGATAATAAAGTCACAAAAACCTTATTTTCTAAATTCCACTCCTAGTTAAGCAGCACAGGTCCCATTCAATTTTGTAAAACACTTTTGATGAAGCCTGTTCAAGGAGAAACGTGACAACTGTATTACACTGTTTATATATTTACCTTTTATCTTTGATTTTTTTATTTTTATTTAAATAGAAGTACTTTTACAGGACATGATCTTTTGCTGCTGAATCCTGAGCTACATATCCTTGGTGGGGATAATACCACCGAAACAAACTGGATTGCGCACACCTCATTTTGCTCTGAGGCATGTAGTTAGGTTTTTATTACTTTTACTGTGCTTGGCACTCCAATTTTATGGTATGCACTATTGTGGGTTTTTTAAATTTCTCTTTTATATATTCACGTAGGAATATCCACATCAGCTATATCCCAGAGAGGGGATCATACCACTTCACACATTACTTCTAGAACCAATACTTAGGCTCCATAATATGTGAGTGTACACCTCTCTACATACCTTTCCCAGCTTATTAGCTTAATATGCTACACTGTATAGTTTTATTCTGTCTCTTATATATTTTATGAGGATACCCATCGCTATAAGGATAACTTGAAGACTCTATGCCACACTATAACCATAGGCGGATAGATGTACAATTTTCCTTACTCCATCAAGACACATAGTACACTATCAGTCATTTTCGTTCTTCCTTTTATTGTTGGAACTCATGTGCTGCACCTTCTTTTCCTGGGTTAGATCTAAACATAAACTATCTAATCATAACTGATCTAACGATAACCTACCAAACTTAACTAATACTGAAGATTACAGCAGACCTAATAGTTTTAATAATGTAAATAACATGAGTACTAATAATAATATAAATAACACGAATATTAATAATAATATAAATAACACTAATACTAATAATAATAGTAATAATAATATAAATAACACAAATATTAATAATAATGGTAATAATAATATAAATAACACTAATATTAATAATAATAGTAATAATAATATAAATAACACGAATATTAATAATAATAGTAATAATAATATAAATAACACTAATATTAATAATAATATAAATAACACGAATATTAATAATAATATAAATAACACTAATACTAATAATAGTAATAATAATATAAATAACACGAATATTAATAATAATAGTAATAATAATATAAATAACACTAATATTAATAATAATAGTAATAATAATATAAATAACACTAATACTAATAATAATATAAATAACATGAATATTAATAATAATATAAATAACACGAATATTAATAATAATATAAATAACACTAATACTAATAATAATAGTAATAATAATATAAATAACACGAATATTAATAATAATAGTAATAATAATATAAATAATACTAATATTAATAATAATAATAATATAAATAACACTAATACTAATAATAATATAAATAACACGAATATTAATAATAATATAAATAACACGAATATTAATCATAATAGTAATAATAATATAAATAACATGAGTACTAATAATAATAATAGTAATAATAATATAAATAACACGAATACTAATAACAATAAGGTAGTGGAAGGTTTCCTGCCTGTTTTTAATTGCTGGTAAAGGTCCAGAATGAATCCTGAATTTATTTATTACGAGCTATTTCAAGATCTGGAAACATTTGGAATGAAATTATGAATAGATAAAGTTTTTTTTTTGAGGTACAGAACAATCTTTCATAATTTTGAATTAATTGATTTATATATTTTCTGTGTTAATAAAGTATTTTAAAAGTCAGTCAAGTTTATGTCTCTCTCTCTCTCTCTCTGTGTATCTTTCGCCCTCTCTGTCTCCCCTAATGCTCTGTCTCTCTCTCTCTCCTTGTCCCCTTTTGTCTCTCTGTGTCTCTCTCTCTGTGTCTCTCTCCCTTCTCAGTCTAACTCTATTTTGTCTCTTTCTCTGTCTCTCTCTGTTTGTCTCTCTGTCTGTCTGTCTCTCTCTCTCTCGGTCTCTCTCTCCCTTCTCAGTCTAGCTCTCTTTTTGTCTCTCTCTCTCTGTCTCTGTGTCTCTCTCCCTTCTCAGTCTAGCTCTCTTTTTGTCTCTCTCTGTCTCTGTGTCTCTCTCCCTTCTCAGTCTAGCTCTCTTTTGTCTCTCTCTCTGTCTCTGTGTCTCTCTCCCTTCTCAGTCTAGCTCTCTTTTTGTCTCTCTCTCTCTCTCTCTGTCTCTCTCTTTTTGTCTCTCTCTCTCTGTCTCTCTCTCTGTGTCTCTCTCTCTGTTTGTCTCTCTCTCCCTCTGTCTCTCTCTCTGCCTCTGTCTGTGTGAATGGGGTACACTGTGTGTATTTTCTGACATGTTGGCATGGAGGGGGTCTGGGTGGCAGACAGAGGACAGGTGCAGGGTGTTTGTGTGCGGTAAAGTCATAGACACCTTGTCCTGTCTGTCAATGGCGTATCCGGCAGCTGCTGCCAATCCCTCCGGGTTCAGGGAGAGAGGGGGGAGAGGAGATCAGAGATACAGAGACATGGAGGGACTGTGGACAGGAGCTCTGCTAGCGCTGATCTGGGGAACACTCCTAGAAGGTGGGTGCAGAATCAGGAACTGAAAGGGGGAATAAAACACAGGGGGAAGGGGGGTGACTGGGCATGGGGTATAAATGGGGAGAGACTGGGCATGGCGTATAAATGGGGAGAAACTGGGCATGGGATATTAATGGTGAGAGCGAATGGGGACGGAATAAGCATGGGGTATAAATGGGGAGAGACTGGGCACAGGATATAAATGGTTAGAGTGAATGGGGAGGGAATAAGCATGGGGTATACATGGGGAGAGACTGGGCATGGGGTATAAATGGGGAGAGACTGGGCATGGGGTATTAATGGGGAGAGACTGGGCATGGGGTATTAATGGTGAGAGCGAATGGGGAGGGAATAAGCATGGGGTATAAATGGGGAGAGACTGGGCACAGGATATAAATGGGGAGAGACTGGGTATGGGATATAAATGGTGAGAGCCTGGAAATGGGATATAAATGGTGAGAGAGAATGGGGAGGGACTGGGCATGGGGTATAAATGGGGAGAGACTGGGCATGGGATACTGATGGGGGAGACTGGGCATATGGTGTAAATAGGCAGATACTGGGCATCGGGGTATAAATGGGGAGAGACTGGGCATGGGATATTGATGGGGAGACTTGGCATGTGGTGTAAATAGGCAGATACTGGGCACAGGATATAAATGGGGAGAGCTTGGGCATGGGATATAAATGGTGAGAGAGAATGGGGAGGGACTGGGCATGGGGTATAAATGGGGAGAGACTGGACATGGGATATTGATGGGGAGACTTGGCATGTGGTGTAAATAGGCAGATAGTGGGCACAGGATATAAATGGGGAGAGCTTGGGCATGGGATATAAATGGTGAGAGAGAATGGGGAGGGACTGGGCATGGGGTATAAATGGGGAGAGACTGGACATGGGATATTGATGGGGAGACTTGGCATGTGGTGTAAATAGGCAGATACTGGGCACAGGATATAAATGGGGAGAGCTTGGGCATGGGATATAAATGGTGAGAGAGAATGGGGAGGGACTGGGCATGGGGTATAAATGGGGAGAGACTGGGCATGGGATATTGATGGGGAGACTTGGCATGTGGTGTAAATAGGCAGATACTGGGCATCGGGGTATTGATGGGGAGGGACTGGGCATGGGGTATAAATGCGGGAATTGCAATAATCATACTAAAACAGCTGTGACTATAGAGATCTTTGCAAATGTTATTTGTCGCAGACAGAAAACGTAAATGATAAACTAAAGGCAAGGTTGGGGTACTGAGTATTGAATACAACGGTTGCTGTATCACATGGTTACTATAGCCGTATTAGGGCCAGGTTCCTCTCGGTCCCTCACAATCGCTGTGAATGAAGTTGGAAGCCAGATGCAGCCGGGATTACTAACAATATGTGTGGCCGGAATTAGGTCCAGTTTTTTTTGACACTCAGATTTGTTATGAGGTGGTCAGTTTTTAATTTTGTGTATTATCATTGTGTCAATTCCTCAGTGATAAAATAGATGATTCAAATATTTATGATACTGAAGGGTATTGATCAAAATGGTAGGAAAATTAAGGTGACTGTGTGATTTGCTCCGATCTTTGTTATTTTTCACTCCCTCCTTCCCTAATCCACCCCCCCTTTTCCCTCTTCCTCTCAGTTTCCTTTCCCTTTCCATTATCCAAAACGTATTTTAAATCTAATAGACTGTTAAAGTGTAATTCTATTAATAGTATCTATTACAAATACGCTAATGTAGAAAATCAAACTCCATTCACACAACCATTCATACCTGTCCCGGCCTGAGAGTGGAGGTGTTAGTTGGAAGGAGTCTCGGGCAAGTCTGTAACCAGAGGCCAGAGTCTCCACGTGTCATGATTAACATATACAGCCTTCTCCATGGATCTCTGATAATTAATCTGTGAGGCTATTTCAGTCCAGGGATCGCCTCAGATCTCCATTTTCTCGCCAAACAGACTTTGGTGGCCATTAATATTTGCACAATTAGCATTTTTATTTCTTATTTCAATTTGGGGAAATCAAAATGGAACAAAAAGAGTTAACATTATAAAACTTGTCTTTCATAACCTAACCATAAACAATTTTCTGGGACCTTAAATTTACATTTAATCAAATGGGATAGTGTAGCAGTCACCCCGAAAAGTGGATGGGTTTCCACCTACAGAGATGTCCTTCTCCCGAGTATGAGGAGTGTTACCGCATTCCAAGTAGTCATCCGAGTCATCCGAGTAGAGAAACTCTTACAAGAGCTAGTAGTGATAACTGTATAGCAGTTCCCTACAATAAGAGACAAGACTCTGTATTGAGGGTGAAGTAAGACTGTTTTAATGGTAGCCAGGCTGGCCTTTTATGCAAGTCCCCATCCAAGGTCCATATGGACCTTGTTGGGGACAGTGATACAAGATTATCAACCAAAAATAACAGAGTTATACAGTGTGACACTCCCATACAGGACATACAATCCCACCCCTCTGCCTGGGAGATAATTGAGTCAACTAGTGTATTTAACTCAATTATCGCCAGGCGAAAAAAGAAAATAATTTTAATACAATCTGAAAGTACCCCAAACACATAATATTTACATATCCCCTGATATCCCCTGATAGCCCCGATCTGGGGGAACAACATATTCAAAAATCACCCAGATCAGTTCAGGGGTTCAGGAGTTGTAATAAGACCGCGTTTATTACCCTGGAAGCAGACCGGCCACAGTCTTATTTCTGACCAACCGCACACGAGGCTTCTGCCCAGAATATTTCCATAGAATCAGACTGTGGCCGGTCTGCTTCCAGGGTAATAAACTAGAGTTTATAAGAGAAATAACTGTTCGTGCGCCCGTTCTCATAGTCATAGGGGTTCAGGAGATATTATTACAGAACCTCGTCCATTTCGTCCTTACAGGGAGTGCAGAATTATTAGGCAAGTTGTATTTTTGAGGATTAATTTTATTATTGAACAACAACCATGTTCTCAATGAACCCAAAAAACTCATTAATATCAAAGCTGAATATTTTTGGAAGTAGTTTTTAGTTTGTTTTTAGTTTTAGCTATGTTAGGGGGATATCTGTGTGTGCAGGTGACTATTACTGTGCATAATTATTAGGCAACTTAACAAAAACAAATATATACCCATTTCAATTATTTATTATTACCAGTGAAACCAATATAACATCTCAACATTCACAAATATACATTTCTGACATTCAAAAACAAAACAAAAACAAATCAGTGACCAATATAGCCACCTTTCTTTGCAAGGACACTCAAAAGCCTGCCATCCATGGATTCTGTCAGTGTTTTGATCTGTTCACCATCAACATTGCGTGCAGCAGCAACCACAGCCTCCCAGACACTGTTCAGAGAGGTGTACTGTTTTCCCTCCTTGTAAATCTCACATTTGATGATGGACCACAGGTTCTCAATGGGGTTCAGATCAGGTGAACAAGGAGGCCATGTCATTAGATTTTCTTCTTTTATACCCTTTCTTGCCAGCCACGCTGTGGAGTACTTGGACGCGTGTGATGGAGCATTGTCCTGCATGAAAATCATGTTTTTCTTGAAGGATGCAGACTTCTTCCTGTACCACTGCTTGAAGAAGGTGTCTTCCAGGAACTGGCAGTAGGACTGGGAGTTGAGCTTGACTCCATCCTCAACCCGAAAAGGCCCCACAAGCTCATCTTTGATGATACCAGCCCAAACCAGTACTCCACCTCCACCTTGCTGGCGTCTGAGTCGGACTGGAGCTCTCTGCCCTTTACCAATCCAGCCACGGGCCCATCCATCTGGCCCATCAAGACTCACTCTCATTTCATCAGTCCATAAAACCTTAGAAAAATCAGTCTTGAGATATTTCTTGGCCCAGTCTTGACGTTTCAGCTTGTGTGTCTTGTTCAGTGGTGGTCGTCTTTCAGCCTTTCTTACCTTGGCCATGTCTCTGAGTATTGCACACCTTGTGCTTTTGGGCACTCCAGTGATGTTGCAGCTCTGAAATATGGCCAAACTGGTGGCAAGTGGCATCGTGGCAGCTGCACGCTTGACTTTTCTCAGTTCATGGGCAGTTATTTTGCGCCTTGGTTTTTCCACAAGCTTCTTGCGACCCTGTTGACTATTTTGAATGAAACGCTTGATTGTTCGATGATCACGCTTCAGAAGCTTTGCAATTTTAAGAGTGCTGCATCCCTCTGCAAGATATCTCACTATTTTTGACTTTTCTGAGCCTGTCAAGTCCTTCTTTTGACCCATTTTGCCAAAGGAAAGGAAGTTGCCTAATAATTATGCACACCTGATATAGGGTGTTGATGTCATTAGACCACACCCCTTCTCATTACAGAGATGCACATCACCTAATATGCTTAATTGGTAGTAGGCTTTCGAGCCTATACAGCTTGGAGTAAGACAACATGCATAAAGAGGATGATGTGGTCAAAATACTCATTTGCCTAATAATTCTGCACTCCCTGTATAGTGCCGAACATCCGTGAACATGGAAGTCTTAGCGGTGTTCGTGCTGTCAAGTGCATGGAACTAGAATAGGACAAAACACCGCTGTCCGCATTCGTATACAAGATGGCCACCGCCACGTGTTCGGGCACATGAACGCCGACCACCCAGTCGACCGCTTATTATGTTGGAGTGTGTGTGGTTTTTGGAGTTGTTAAGAAGGGTCAGTAAGGTTAACAAGCGCCACACTCCCCATTTGAGTGGTCCGTCGTTCGGTAGATCTTTCGTTCGGTAGAACTGACAATGGTGAAATAAGGCATAATTGTACTTGGTCAAACGGATAGGTGAAAAGACACATAAACTTGTCATATGTCAAATATACATCGGGGAGGGATGTTCCCCCATCTTTTAATTTGCGGGACAAATTTGAGGAGGAAATTCTGGGTCTATGGCTCCCCCATACAAACTTAATAAATAATTCCTGAAATTCGTGCAGCGTACGTTAGGGTATTCTCAAAGGAAGAGTTCTCAATAGGTATCCCAGTTTTAGCTCTAAATAAGTTCGTACTAAGCTGGGTTCAGATTTTAGGTGAACTAGAAGGTGCCAGTCAGTCAAATGCTTTACATACACGGATTTTAAACAAGAATCTGAACTATTTGCCTGCTGGCAGTGCCAACAGTTAACAAGCAAATAATTATAATCCTCTGGCACTACAAGGGTTAATTATGTGGCGGCTGGCCAGCAGTTACTAACCAGCTGCTACATTAGAAAAAAAAAAATCATTATCAATAAAAACTCTTCTCGGTCAATAAGACCCACACGTTGCTATAATGGAAGTTTTAAACGTCCCTCTTTGCCCACGTACCGTGTCGCAGGTGGGGGCAGATCTACTGAATGTTAAAACATAGTGACTGTGCTGCTATAATAAGGCCCATCTCATTAGGATGGTGCCTGTAATATAAAGGGGGGGTAGATAATACCCACCCAATGGCATCGAAGGGGGGCTATAATTTAAATAATGTGGACAGATTATAGCCCACCCCCTGCTCTCACTCATGGCCAGAGGGTGGGGGACAATACATAACAAAAAACAAGGGAGGAAAACATTCTTATGTCCCCCCTGACCCCACCACTCAGCAGGGGGGATACTTACTAAAACAGGAGGCCTAATGTCCCCCCTCTGGACCCCACCTATTAGCTTTAATTATCACATACAAAGGGGGGTGGACATGCCATTGTCGCCCATCCCAGTTGGCGCCACCCACCTAATCCTCTAGCCACTTCCGCTTAAAATAAATTAACCCTACCCACCCTAATAATATTAAGGAGGTCATTAAAAACGTTCTTATCTTCTTATCTGTCTTGTAAACGTTCTTATCTTCAGCCCCAAAAAGACCAAATAAAACCATAGTACATGATCCTGAAAATAAAAAAACAACTGATTTACAAAAACAAACAAACCAGAAAACCAAAACCCTGACCCAACAAAAACAGATCCATTTGTGAAAAGAAAAAATGTCTGAAATGCCAATCTATCAGCTGCTACAGCACTGTTACCCACCACGTACAGTATGCAGGGCAGGTAAGGTGTCACCCTTCAGATTGGGGGTACCTAACATCCGGGTCACATATATGAGAAAAAAAGGGGGAAATCTTATGGTGAAGTACGAATGGAAAGTGGTGTAAACTGCAGATATATAAAAAAAAAAAAAACACTCACAAGTAGAGAGCCAAGTATGGGACTGGCTGGAGTCACGATCGCTGGAGAGCCAAGTATGGGACTGGCTGGAGTCACGATCGCTGGAGAGCCAAGTATGGGACTGGCTGGAGTCACGATCGCTGGAGAGCCAAGTATGGGACTGGCTGGAGTCACGATCGCTGGAGAGCCAAGTATGGGACTGGCTGGAGTCACGATCGCTGGAGAGCCAAGTATGGGACTGGCTGGAGTCACGATCGCTGGAGAGCCAAGTATGGGACTGGCTGGAGTCACGATCGCTTTGGTTAATTAGGTGACACCTTTCCCTCTTGTCGTTTCCCTTGTGCTCAAAGAGAAAGCAGAATAAGACACAATGGGTGAAGTGGTAAATATAATATATATTACTCACCTTTCCAGAGAGTAAAATAAACCTGGCTCTGGGTGTAAACGCCTATTACCCACTAAAGGGGGGTAACCTGTAGGCACCCAGACCACTTCTGCCCATTGGAGTGGTCTGGGTGCCAACTCCCATCACCCTTAATCCTGCAAGTGTAATTATTGCAGGGTTAGTCCTCCTCTAGTGGCTGTCTATCAGGGACTTCCGGGTTCTTAAAACACAAAAATTGCTTTAAACAAAACTGGACGTCCTCACGCTTTGCATGAGGACCTCCAGCGTCGCCGGAATCCTCATAGGAAAGTATTGAATAATGACGTCGGCAGGGGAGGAGCGTGGGTGGAGCCTGACACAGCACCAAGGGACATCAGCGCTGGATTTAGGTAAGTCACTGAAGGGATTCTGCAGTGCCAGGAAACGGATTTGTTTGAGTCACTTTAAGGACCAGGGCTGTTTTTGCATTTCTGCGGTGTTTGTGTTTAGCTGTAATTTTCATCTTATTCATTTACTGTACCCACACATATTATATACCGTTTTTCTCACCATTAAATGGTCTTTCTAAAGATACTATTATTTTCATCATATCATATCATTTACTATAAAAAAATAAAATATGAATAATTTTTTTTTTTAAACATACTTTTTCTAACTTTGACCCCCAAAATCTGTTACACATCTACAGCCGACAAAAAATACCTGTGCTAAATAATTTCTAAATGTTGTCCTGAGTTTAGAAATACCCAATGTTAACATGTTCTTAGCTTTTTTTGCAAGTTATAGTATTATTATTGCCATTTATATAGCGCCAACAGATTCTTTACAATATTATAAGAGGGGGATTTAATTATAAATAGGACAATTACAAGAAAACTTACAGGAACAATAGGTTGAAGAGGACCCTGCTCAAACGAGCTTACAGTCTATAGGAGGTGGGGTGTAAAACACAACAGGACAGGAGGTAGCAATCAAACAAGTGAAGCAGAGCTGGAGGAGAGAGTAGAGTGCTGCCCTTTAGGAGAGGGCAAGAGACAGGTATGTGAGGTAGAGGTTACTCTGGGAGGCCATAAGCTTTCCTGAAGAGATGGGTTTTAAGGCACTTCTTAAAGGATTGAAGACTAGGGGAGAGTCTGATGGTAGTAGGCAGACTATTCCATAGGACGGTGGGCCCCCTGAGCGGGGGGTGGGGGCCATAAATAAAAATCCCCCCCCAACCCCTCGTCACCCCTCTCCCCCCTAAAAAATTACCCCTACCTACCCCCCTCATTCTAAAAATAATGAGGGAGGACCCTTGTCTAAATACCTGTAAAAAAAAAAATAGACTTACCATTTGATGTCTTCTTTCTTCTAAAATCTTATTTTTTGATCCCCAAAAAAGACCAAATAAAAATCCAAAATAACCGACGCACTTAAAAAAAATAAAAAAATAATCCATCTTTACCCATCGTGAGCTCTGCACAGACTGAGCTCTGCAGGGCGCGGGAAGGCTTATAAAGCCTTTCCCCGCCCTGCAATTAGGCTCAGAGCACTCTGATTGGTGGGTTTAAGCCATCCAATCAGAGTGCTCTGACAGGTAAATGAAGAGACTGACAGGTAAGTCTCTACATTTACCTGTCACAGCACTCTGATTGGTTAGCTTGAAATCCACCAATCAGAGTGCTCTGTGTCAGTTTACACAGTGTGGGAAAGTTCTTTGGAATTTTCCCAAGCTGTGTAAAATGACACAGAGCACTTTGATTGGTGGATTAAGTAACCAGAGTGTTATGAGTCAAATTACACAGCATGGGAAAATTCCAAAAAACTAAAATGACACAGAGCACTCTGATTTGTTACTTAATCCACCAACTGATATTCCTCTATGATGGGATTCCGAGACATTCAAAATGGTAAATGACAGTTTGGGACCCCGAAAATATTTCTCACATGTAGAATCTGTTTATACTATGTCTTGGGACCTGCACATCCTTTACTATGTTGATGACTCCGGAAGGGCCTGCTAGCCCATAATCTACAGTAATCTAAACATTGCCACATTACCTTGAATGCATACTTGAGATACTGGGGACCTGCAAGTCCTGTTGTTCTATCTGCTACGTGAATAACTTAAATATGTAGAAATATTGATTTACAACAACAAAATTTGATCTGTTTAGCAGATAGCTCCTTAATTTAAAATACTTACTTGGGATCACCATATGTAAAGATACCAGAATAGGAAGCTATCTACTATAGCACAGCTCCCTTCCTTAAATATGGCAATCCCACACAAGGGACCACATTAGGGACCACATTAGGGACTTATCTACTTATATAAACCATGGAAAGACTTGGTGGTGCCTGCGACATTCCACTCGGCCACATAAAAATACAGATTCGAAGATATTGATTGCATTTAGGTTGAACCAATGAAATATTGAATAATATGTGATTCATAACTTGTAGCAGAGTAACATTGTGTAGTTTAGAGTAGCACTGTGTAGAGTACAGAGTAACAATGTACAGCGTATAGAGTAACAATGTACAGCGTATAGAGTAACAATGTATAGTATACAGAGTAACAATGTATAGTATACAGAGTAACAATGTACAGCGTATAGAGTAACAATGTATAGTATACAGAGTAACAATGTATAGTATACAGAGTAACAATGTACAGCGTACAGAGTAACAATGTATAGTATACAGAGTAACAATGTACAGCGTATAGAGTAACAATGTACAGCGTATAGAGTAACAATGTATAGTATACAGAGTAACAATGTATAAAGTATAGAGTAACAATGTGTAGAATACAGACTGATGTGTAACTTGTAGCAGAGTAACATTTTGTAGTTTAGAGTAGCATTGTGTAGCAGAGTAACATTATAGTAAAACTACCTCAGTTGTCCTATGTGTTTCCACATCATGCTTTTCCCTCTTATTTCCCTTGCTCCCTCTGCCTCCTCTGCCCCCTTTGAGCCTTTCCTTTTCCTGATGGATGGTTCACTGTGGTACGGCAATGGGGAGTCGGTGCTGCTAATTACAGATCTCTCTCCTGTCTCAGCGGGTATTGAGATATCATAGCAGTAAGTACATTGACTTGTTTGTTTCCTGTTAGGCTTTGTAGCTGCTCACGATGAAGGCTCCCTGAGAGACAAACTCTTTGAAAATTACAGCGCCAACATCCGTCCGACCAGGAGACACAACGAGAAAGTTACAGTGCAAGTGGGCATGACATTGGCTCAATTCATCAGCCTGGTAAGGAAGCAGGTCTAATATATATATATATAATAATATATCCCAACCCCTGACAGGAGCAATTGTAACAATATAATAAACGTTATTCATTCACCTGTCCGTGGGATTAATGTCGTGACCAATCAGTGTATGTAAAGGTGATATTTTAGTTTTTCTTTTTAATAAATGTTATACAATATTTATCTATTGTGTGTAGATAAAATTAGTAATTTGGACAGTTGTACAATAAGGCTACAAGATACAAAAGACTTGAATAAAAATGGAAGGGGTCTGAATACTTTCTGAATGCACGGTATATAACTTTATTAAAGAATTAAATACTGGATTTTGTTTTTGTGGTAATTATAAAAATAAAGTAAAATGTTAACATTGTGCTGGAAAAGGTCTCCAAATATGCTACTTTAAGGTTTTACAGAAAATGCATGTTCTATTAAAGTTTTGATTTCTTCTTTCATTAGCTAACTTTGCCTAAGCTCACACAGGAGCCTGCTTTTCACTAGCTGACTATTAATAAAAAAAATTCATATTTTTGGATAAGTTCTTCAAATTATTCAAATCTGTTACAAAAACTTTCCAAATTATCTATCTACAAAAATTCACAGAGGTTTTAATAGGGAATTCTGTAGATAAATTATTTTTAAAGTTTTTTCCAACAGTGTTGAATCATTTGAAAATGCACATGGAGCATTAAAATGATGTAACTGTAGGTGCTAATTGTGTAGTAGAGTAGAAAGGAAAAGTCTAAGATTCCAGTAGGACCCATTCAGGGAAATCCATAGTGTTTCACACCTTCTCACTAACCTCTTCTTTTTCTATAGAATGAAAAGGACGAGAAACTCAATACGAAAGTGTACATGAATCTGGTTGGTATGGCGTGTCTATAGCCCCGTTACAGTGTTACTTGGTTGCATCTATCTTGGTGAAGGACTGTGTGCACTCTTATAATAATGTATTATCAATATATTAGACGCCATGGCAGGAGCCGTGTTCTAGTACAGGTTCCAGCCGTTTCATTGATTTGGCAACACTATAAACTCATTAATGTGCCAACACAACCGATGATGTCAAAAAGTGGGGCACACTCGGTTCCTCCAGGAAAATTAAGAGGATAACCCTAAAAGGAGACCAAATAGTATTGTTGGGCCCGACACTAATTATGTTTAAAACAACAGAATTTTTTATTAATTCATTATAAAAACACATAGAACATAAACACACCAAAATAGTGAACCCTCTATCATAAAGTGTTTGCACTAATGAAAGAAACTGGACGTTTGAGTAAATATAGATTTCTAAGGGCTCAGGGAATGGCTTGCTATGTGGATCATGGTCAGTAGGCAATTCCTCAGGTTTCGGAGACTAATGATCACTCCAACTCAACTCTTGTTCACTAACAGGGAGATGTCACCACTGCCAAAGGGTGGTCAAATAATGAATTTGACAATGATACAAGTATGGTGGTATTGTAACCAAGTAACCATTTCATTTGTATCATAAGAGACAAATAAGTCATTGTACGTAACTACAAGCATATTGTTAGATTATAGAAGAGACAGATAGGGAGTAGATAGCCTGGCAATTAGCTTTGTATACTTAACAGAGGACCAGGCAACGTACAGGAATAAAGTCAAATGTAGATAGGTAAGTTAATAAAGACTAGTTTAGGTAGATCCTACATAATACATGGTGTATCATGCTTATCAGCCACTAGAGTGGGAATACTACATCGAATGACCCCACAAAATTCCCACAAAATCCACCCCAATCACATGACCATATCCTAAGTATTGGTTACTACCACTGGACCTGTACATAAACTGGTCCAGTTTCTTTAATCAGATAGCACACTGTTTTGAGAGAGGGTTCACTTTTTGGTGTGCTTGTTTTCTGTGTTATACCTCGTTCATAGCGTTTTCATACCATTTTATTGATTTGTCCCTCCGTCAGATCTATTTCCTAGGTCCCACTAGTTGTTTTTTTCCATCTTTCCTCCATTGCTTCCGATGTTTTAATCAACTTCCTTTCCCCATTTCCTCAGGTCTGGACAGATTATCGCCTAACATGGAATCCCAAAGAGAATGATGGTATCACATCTTTACGAATATCCTCGGGAAATGTCTGGAAACCAGATATCATCTTAATGAACAAGTGAGAGACCTTGTGGGCTAACAGTCACAGGATTGGAGGTTCCTTCTATGCTTGTCTCCAACATTCTTTGCTTCTCTTTACTTCTCTCATTTCTCGTAGTTATGATGGGAACTTTAACATGGCTCTAGATGTAGATGTTTTGGTCGAATCCAATGGAAGTGTGACTTGGGAGCCACCGGGTGTGTTCCAGAGTAGCTGCAGCATTGAAGTGAGTTACAGGACAATTAGAGGGTGATGTGTAAAGTGCTTGTTGGGTCTCACGGTGGTTTAAACAATCCTGTCTCTGTCTGAAAAGGTCCAGTACTTTCCCTTTGACTGGCAGAATTGCAGTATGGTGTTTCGTTCTATCACGTATTCTGCGGAGGAGGTAACGCTTGTCCATGCCAAGGATGCTCAAGGAAAGGACATAACACAAGCCGTTATTTTCTCCAACACATTCGAGGGTGAGTGATAAGGACTTCTATATGAGTAAATCCATAAACCAATTCAATATTGATTAGATCAACAAGCAAGCACAGGGTCCAATGAACGACAAGTGACACTTATTATATCATTATAATAATTTTACTGTAAGAACACTCTGTTTATAGTCCTTGGTCTAGAATAAAGTTCATTTTTTTGTGTTTATTTTGTTAATATTTTTCATTTGTAAGAAGGAAAAAGAGAGAAAATGTGTCCCTCCAATAAAGTCAAACAATAGTACTGGTTAAAAATCTCGAAGATACTTTATTAAGTCGAAAAAAGACTAACATACAAAGAATATAGGGGAAGCCATAGCTGTAGCTACCACACATAAAATAGCATACCTTGAGAGAGAGAGGCTACAACCGGGAAAAAAGAATACAGGAAAGGGGGTGAAGAATAACACGTACGTGTGTACAAAGATAAGGTACAGCCCAGAACTAACATGCAGATGGTAATCAATGCTTAATCTGCGATAGAATAATACACCAAAATATAATATAGAGGGTAATATAGGGTACCGAGAACGGATTAGGACACGAGAGAGAGACTTATTTAATAGACGTAATCATGCTCTGCAAAATGATAGCTGACTAAGCAGCGGTAAATGTCAGTACAACAGTGTAACACGTGTGTATCTGACACTATATATATTAGCAATAATAATGTTACAATTACCCTCAGACACAAAGTACATCAATGTGTCTAAAATACGTGGAACCAAAATAGTAAGGGTAATGAGCAGATCATAGGTTGCTACAGTACAGTGTAATGAAGAACAGCCTTACTAAAAAAATCGCAAACCAATTCTCGGTAAATACTATATATCCCACTGGTGCTAATGTCCTCATGGGAATAAAACGGAACTGCCTCACAATACTATGCTCCCTGAAAAAAAAAACAAATAAAGTATGATAGCTAATAATAACTCCTAAGGCCACAAATTACTGGTCTAATTTTTTTTTTCAGGGAGCATAGTATTGTGAGGCAGTTCCGTTTTATTACCATGCGGACATTAGCATGTTAGTTCTGGGCTGTACCTTATCTTTGTACACACGTACGTGTTATTCTTCACCCCCTTTCCTGTATTCTTTTTTCCCGGTTGTAGCCTCTCTCTCTTGAGGTATACTATTTTATGTGTGGTAGCTACAGCTATGGCTTCCCCTATATTCTTGGTATGTTAGTCTTTTTTCGACTTAATAAAGTATCTTCGAGATTTTTAACCAGTACTATTGTTTGACTTTATTGGAGGGACACATTTTCTCTCTTTTTCCTTCTTTCTAATTGTTCCATTAGGGTTACCCCCTGTTGTGTCCCCTTGGACTTGTGGCCAACTAGTCTTTATTCATATTTTTCATTTGTATTTTTGTTTCCTACAGAGAATGGGCAGTGGGAGATTCGACATCGCTCTTCCCGTAAGAACACAATCCCCACAGATCCATCGTACGAAGATATCACGTTCTACCTGGTGATTCGGAGGAAACCTCTCTTCTACATCGTGAATATCATTGTTCCATGTGTTCTCATCACCATCCTGGCTATTTTTGTCTTCTACCTTCCCCCAGATGCTGGTTAGAACCCAAATCTTATAGTAATATTCCTACAAGTTATTTTACTGATGAAAGTGTCTTGTCAAAAATATTAATCTCCAATGGGACGTGGGACACAAAGGAACTGGGGCAAAGAGGGAGATGGTAAACGATAACAGATCAATAGTGAGTGAGAATTGGAATATATCATAAGACATAGATCAGCAGTTGGTAAGAAGAATCTAAAGATTTTAGCTGTAAAGACAGATTAGTAGTTGCTGTGAGGAGTTCAGTTGGCACAGTGTAAATATTCAGCCCGCGTGCTACATATTATTTAAAAAGAAAAAAGGAAAGAGCTGTTCTAATTCCTGTACAGGGCAGAATACTTGGAACACGAGAGAGCATTCCGTTACCCTCACAGTGATTAGTGTCATGTGGTTGAATATAAAATTGCTTACTGCCTAAATTCATTCTGGGCCCCAGTACCTAACACGCGTTAGAAATTGTAATGGATCGCCTGTATTCCGACCGAGTACCTTCCTTTGATGGATGCTTCCTAGCTTGCGCCGAGGACCACAAGCACCGCACCGGACACCACAACCACCGCAGACTCCACAACCGCCGTAGCTTAACTGGAGTCTCGCCGTCTTCCCTGGATCAGCCTCTGTCCTCCAGGACCATGTGGGAAAGACCTCTCCTCCAGGAGAGCGTAACAGGAACAGCTCTTAAAAGAGCTTAGTGATTAAAACTCAGGGCAGTATACAAGTATAGCAATCCCCAGTGTGAATATAGCTGTCCCCTCTAATCACGAGATAAGACTATGTGTTGAGGGTCAAAAAGATCTGTTTTAATCAGCACCAAAGGACTGATTTTCTAGAACAGTGGTTCTACGTGGTTTTGTAGAACAGCCAATCAAACACGTACAATACAGTTAAACACTCCCATTCATTCCAGCAAAATCCTCCCCTCTGTGATAGTATTACTGTACACAATGGGTTAATGTAATTATCACAGGCAGGAAAATACAGTTTTTATACAATTCTTATAACTCACAAAATATACATACAATCTCCATAAAAGTTACATATTATAAATCAGCATACTTCAAATACAAACATACCCAAAAATCAGACAATTCCCTCCAGTCAGGGCCAGACTGGGGATTCCAAAGCAGCCCTGGAAAAAAAAAATCTATGCCAGCCCCATAAGTCATTGCGCCATATATTGTCGCATGTAAGGCTATGTCTTGCCACCCCAGATGATTGAAAGAGATAATATATATATATATATATATATATATATATATATAGGTCCTTTCAGAGTAAAATTTTTAATTATACAGTAAGCATACTCACATGCAGACACAGACAATCTCACTGACACAAGCGGATTGATACACAGCCTCATAGACAAACAATCTCACTGATATACATAAGGTCATTGACATAAAAACACAAGCTCACTCAGTAGCAGGCACACACACACACACACACAAGCAAGCCCACTCACTAGCAGACGCGCACACACACAAACACACAGCTTAATGCAGTGGTTCTGGTGTCTGTAGCCTGTCCCTGCATGCTTTTTAGAGAAAAGGCAGTGTTTACATTGCTTCCTAGTGACAGACACTCAGACGGTCACTAGAGGTGCTTCCTGAGTCAGTGCTGATTGGCTGAGATCATCAAGCTTGATGATCTCAGCCATAGAGGCAGGGCCAGTCAAGGGGCGACCAGCATGACGTGGGGGGGAAAAAAGGTGAGTAAAAACACACACACACACATACCATGACAGACACGCACCATGACACAGACAGACCGTGACACAGACACACACACACACACCGTGACAAAGACAGAAACACACACACACACACACACCCCGTGACAGACAGAAACACAGACACACCATGACAGAGACACACACACACACCTTGACACACACCATAACAGGCCATGACACAAACACACACGCACTGTAACATAGACACACATTACATGACACAGACAGACACACACACACACACACACACACAACCAACACAGAGAGACTGTGACACAGACACACACACCGTGACACAGATTACATGACACAGACAGACACACACACACACCATGACAAACACACACACACCATGACACATACAGACCGTGACACAGACAGACCGTGACACAGACAGACACACATTACATGACAGACACACACACACAATGCCACAGACATACACACCATGACAGACAGAGACACACACACCATGACACAGACAGACACACACACACACACACACACACAATGACACAGACAGACACACACACACCATGACACAGACAGAGACACACACCATGACAGAGACAGAGACACACACCATGACAGAGACACACACCATGAAAGAGACAGACACACACACACCATGACACAGAGACACACACACACACCATGACACAGAGACACACACACACACCATGACAGACAGACACACACACATATACACTCACACACATAATTTCTACCTGTGTGCTGGCTGCCGCAGAGGGAGCTGGCTGTTCTGTCTCTGCTCCCCCGCCCAAGCGCGCAGCTTAATGAGACCGGGGCCGGAATATGACGTCATATTCCGGCCCCGGTCTCTTTCTAGCGCGCGAGGGAGCAGAGACAGAACAGCCAGCGCCCCCTGCGGCCGCCAAAAGAGCTCCCTCTGTGGCTGCAAGAAGAGCCAGCTGCCTGCCCGGCCCCAGCTGCCGACGGAAATTTCCCGGTATCCCGGTGGGCCAGTCCGGCCCTGCCTCCAGTGGTTAAAAAGTTAGCTGGAAGTCCTTTTTGACCGACCACAAGCATGGCTTTCCTGCCCAAAACAGTTCCATAGATTTGGGCTGTGCGGTCGGTCTATTTTACACTGAAAAATAAGTAAGTCCCATTCAAATGCACGGATGGGGAACCGTTCATGCAAATGGCTTAGTATAACTGTGCGTTTGAATCGTCGAACGCACTTCGATTTTAGCCGAAGCATCGAAGTGGAGGAGAAGGTAAGGGTCAGCAGTGTTCGTGCAAATGTTTAGCCGATTTTAGTTCCATGGATTTGACGACACACACCGCTGACCGGGTTCGACTATATAAAGATGGCCGCCACCACGTGTTCGAATGGACGAACGGCGGCCACCCAGCGGTTGGCAATTAACCTGCGGTTAACCACCAGCCTGGGAGGTAAATTGCCTGCACACTTCCACTTATGTGTGGTCCGCCTGTGCAGTAATTGGTTTGGTAAGCCCCATTTACCGAACAAAGTGGGAAAAGGACAAGAGCAAGTTATTTTCACAGTCTGGGGACTCTGGGGGCACGGTTTCAAGGGGCACTGTTCCAATTTTCACTAAGTCCCAATAATGTGCTTAAAGGGCGAACATTAGTCTAATAAAAGTCCATAAGCCCCAATAATGTTTTTAAAGGGCCATACACCCTAGGGCCATAGTCACAGGGCAAGAGGCTGGCAAGAGGCTCTCCAGGACAGAAATCAACTCAGGAAAACATGTATCAATATAAAGAATTAACCTCCAGCTCTCGGAGATGGAGTGATAACTAGTGTTGGGTGTAAAATACTTGTAGTGGCCACTAGATGGGGCTCGTGTCTACTTTACTAACAAGCCAAATCTATTGTCCACAGAAAGATCAATACATAGAATATTGATTATGGGTTCTGAGGTCACCTATATCAGAGCCGAATAAGAGAACGCCGCAACGAGGTACAGATAATGTAAGAACCTCAATTTGGTAAATGAAGTCCACCCTAATGAGATTGAGTACTGGATCATGGTCGACTTACCCCATGATGGGCCGTCTCTAAACTGGGTCAATGTGGGAATAAACTCAGGGGGTTTATAAATGGAACAAGCTGGTAATACAGTCCTACTCCGCGGCTGATACAGACATATCAACACAGCCTGCCATACCCTATAGATGGCATTGGATATAATTATATATATATACACACACACATACACACACACACACACACATACTGTCTATACATCAAATGAAGTACGAAACCTGATTGTCTACCTTGGACAATAACTACCTATATGTGTTTGGTGTGCTGGCATAGAGATGGTGGTGGTGATGGTATAGAGAGGGTGATGGTGATGGTATAGTGAGAGCAGTTGGTGAGATGGTATAGAGAGGGTGGTGGTGATGGTATAGAGAGAGCAGTTAGTGAGATGGTATAGCGTTATTGTGATGGTGTAGAGGAAGGTCAGTGACTGTTAAATTTCTTACTTTGAGGAACACATTTCTCCATCCCCTTCATTTTTTCTTCTTCCTCAATACTCCCACATTGATCACATATCCCCCAACACTGTCGAATATCTCCCCACATTGTCTAATATCTCCCCACATTGTCTAATATCCCCCCACATTGTCTAATATCCCCCCACATTGTCTAATATCCCCCCACATTGTCTAATATCTCCCCACATTGTCTAATATCTCCCCACATTGTCTAATATCCCCCCACATTGTCTAATATCCCTCCACATTGTCTAATATCCCCCCACATTGATCACATATCCCCCCACATTGTCTAATATCCCCCCACATTGTCTAATATCTCCCCACATTGTCTAATATCCCCCCACATTGTCTAATATCTCCCCACATTGTCTAATATCCCCCCAACATTGTCGAATATCTCCCCACATTGTCTAATATCCCCCCACATTGTCTAATATCCCTCCACATTGATCTCGTCTCCCCACTTGCTCTCATATCTCCCCACTTGCTCTCATGTCTCCCCAGGTGAGAAGATGACTCTCTCAATCTTCGCCTTGCTCACTCTCACTGTGTTCCTGCTGCTTCTTGCAGATAAAGTGCCCGAGACTTCATTAGCAGTCCCCATCATAGTTAATTACCTCATGTTTACTATGACGCTTGTTACCTTCTCTGTCATTCTGAGTGTCGTAGTCCTGAATCTCCATCATCGCTCGCCCAACACGCATCAAATGCCTCAATGGGTGCGCCAGGTAATGAACAACTGTATATTCTGATAGGAAAGATGTTATTACATGTAATTATTATTATTAATTATTATTACTGATGTCTATAGGCAGTTTGTATATGTGTGTAGTAAAACCAGTTTAAAGTTTGTATCGTGGAAATGTCACCAGCTAAGAACAATATGTGTGTAAGTTGGTTAATGCACCAATTTTAGAAAGTTTTCAATCTGGAGTCCATGGATTAACTGCGCCCCTTACCTTCCAATGAACATTCTGAAATGATTGAAAATCTCACATTACTACCCTTGGCCTCCTAGAGGCCGCCTGAGTCCCCTAATTGTTCTGCTGGTAAAACACACTTTGGGACATATTCCCTAAACTGAAAATTAAAGATAATTTTTACCCTAAAACCTAAATACCTTTATGTTCTGCTTAGGTTCTGCTTATGACCAAGGATCAGAACGTCACATTCCTGCTTTTTGTAGCAATGTAATTCATTCCCAATCTGCTCCCTATATTATATTTTAGCCGCTCTCTTTACGCCATTTCCCTGAACTTTGCACTCACTCTAATTGCAGATATTTATCTTACATCTACCTCGATACCTTCGAATCCGCCGACCCAAACCAGAGCCGTCGCTGCCAGTGCTACCTTCACCGCGCCCGGTCACTGCGCCGCGGCACGCCGATGAGTACTTTATACGAAGGCCGGAAAGTGACTTCATCCTGCCTAAAGCTGACAGGTGCGTACTGAGTATACCATAGAATGGTGGTAAGTATCTGTACAGGAGGGGAGTAACAATGTATTTATAATGATACTTTCATATTATTTCATTTTATTGAGACATGGTCTCCAGGATCTACTGAAAGTCGAAAAATTTCAATGTATCCTCCTGGTAACATAGTGTTTACTTATACTACTGTCATACTATGTATTAAATAGAAAAAAGGGAATTGTGGGCACACCCGGAACATGCATTCTGCAGGAGTGATGCTACCGTAGAAACCAGAATATATTAATAATACAGATTAAGGAGCAGCACACACATAAGAATACATTTCTAAATTCTATAAGGCTACTTAAAATCACCTATCTCAGCAAATAAATATGGGGATGCAGACCCAGCATATGGTCATATCGTGTTAAGCCCACTGCTACTTCAAAGTACCCAAATATCGGTGGGTCCTACACTAATTATGTCACAGTACCCCATTATCGGTGGGTCCTACACTAATTACATCACAGTATCCCAATATCAGTGGGTCCTACACCAATTACTTCAAAGTACCCATGGGTCCTGCACTAATTATGTCACAGCACCCCAATATTGGTGGGTCCTACACCAATTACTTCAAAGTACCCCAATATCAGTGGGTCCTACACTAATTACATCACAGTAGCCCAATATCGGTGGGTCCTACACTAATTATATCACAGTACCCCAATATTGATGGGTCCTGCACTAATTATGTCACAGTACCCCAATATCGGTGGGTCCTACACCAATTACTTCAAAGTACCCCAATATCGGTGGGTCCTACACTAATTATGTCACAGTACCCCAATATCGGTGGGTCCTACACTAATTACTTCACAGTACCCCAATATCAGTGGGTCCTACACTAATTACATCACAGTACCCCAATATTGATGGGTCCTGCACTATGTCATTATGTCACAGTATCCCCAACACTAATTATGTCACAGTGGTGGGTCCTACACCAATTACTTCACAGTACCCAATATCAGTGGGTCCTACACTAATTACATCACAGTACCCCAATATTGATGGGTCCTGCACTAATTATGTCACAGTACCCCAATATTGGGTGGTCCTACACCAATTACTTCAAAGTACCCCAATATCAGTGGTCCTACACTAATTACATCACAGTACCCCAATATTGATGGGTCCTGCACTAATTATGTCACAGTACCCCAATATCGGTGGGTCCTACACCAATTACTTCAAAGTACCCCAATATGGGTGGGTCCTACACTAATTATGTCACAGTACCCCATTATCGGTGGGTCCTACACTAATTACTTCACAGTACCCCAATATCAGTGGGTCCTACACTAATTACATCACAGTACCCCAATATTGATGGGTCCTGCACTAATTATGTCACAGTACCCCAATATTGGTGGGTCCTACACCAATTACTTCAAAGTACCCCAATATCAGTAGGTCCTACACTAATTACATCACAGTACCCCAATATCGATGGGTCCTGCACTAATTATGTCACAGTACCCCAATATCGGTGGGTCCTACACTAATTATGTCACAGTACCCCAATATCGGTGGGCCCTACACTAATTATATCACAGTACCCCAATATCAGTGGGCCCTACACTAATTCAAAAGTGGAAGACAAATTAAACAGTGCTAGTGCTAAATGTATTTTAATAATCTGTTTATTAACATTGTATATATATAATGCAAAATGAATGTGAGTGCTTTGATGTATATACACACAATGCACATAATATATCTGCTCTATGGAAATTATAAATAAAGGGACATTATTATCCCAAACCTCCTAAAATGTATACCTTCCTGTGGTCACCACCAAAAGGGGCCTCTGAAGCTGAGATAAGTGATTTTAAGTAAATTTGTAATATTTAAAACTTTGTGTGTGTGTTGTTCCTTAATCTTTACTAGTAGAGTTGAGCGGACACCTGGATGTTCGGGTCCGGCGGGTTCAGTCGAACTTTGAAAAAAAGTCCGGGTTCGAACTTGACCCCGAACCCAAACCCCATTGAAGTCAATGGGGACCCGAACTTTTGGCCACAAAAATGGCTCTAAAAAACTCCTGGAAAGGACTAGAGGGCTGCAAAAGGAAGTAAAATGGGGGTAAGAGGAGGACAAGTGCCCTGCAAACAAATGTGGATAGGGAAATCACTTAAAATAATATAAAATAAGCAGCCGCTTAGTAGATTACTCCCTAATTCCCATGGTATTAGGGAGCTATCTACTAAAAGGCTGAAAGACCTAAATTGGTCTTTCAGCCACATTTACTAATACTAATAAAGATTACTTTGTAAATTCTGCCCCTACAGCATGTCTAGTAAACAGTGAGCAGCCAGTGGCCCTGTGCGACGGGTGGGGGCCCTAAATAAGAATGTGAAGGGGGGGACCTACTGTCGTCCCCCCTGGCCCTCACCCCTGCGCGGCGGGTGGGGGCCCTAAATAACAATAAGGGGGGGACCTACTGTCCTCCTCCCCCGTCCTCCACCCCTGAGTGGTGGGTGGGGGCCATAAATAAAAATCCCCCCCCCCAGGTGACTAGGGGTCCCCAAATTCCTAGTCACCCCACTCCCTCCCAAAAAATTACCCCTACCTACCCCCCTCACCCTAAAAATAATGAGGGGGGGACCATTTAACTAAGTACCTGTAAAAAAATAAAACTTACCATTTGATGATTTCTTTCTTCTAAAATCTTATTTCTTCAGCCCCAAAAAAGGCCAAATAAAAATCCAGAATAACAGACGCACTTTAAAAAAAAAAAAACGAGCGCAAAAAAAAAAATCCATCTTCACCCATGGAGGGCTCAGCACAGACTGAACTCTGCAGGGCGGGGGATGGCTTATAAAGCCTTGCCCCGCCCTGTAGTTAGGCTCAGAGCACTCTGATTGGTGGGTTTAAGCCATCCAATCAGAGTGCTCTGACAGGTAAATGAAGAGACTGACAGGTAAGCTGCCACAGCACTCTGATTGGATGGCTTGATTTGGAATTATCCCACTCTGTGTAATTTTACTCAGAGCACTCTGATTGGTGGATTTCAAGCTAACCAATCAGAGTGCTGTGACAGGTAAATGTAGAGACTTACCTGTCAGTCCCTTCATTTACCTGTCAGAGCACTCTGATTGGATGGCTTAAACCCACCAATCAGAGTGCTCTGAGCCTAATTGCAGGGCGGGGCAAGGCTTTATAAGCCTTCCCCCGCCCTGCAGAGCTCAGTCTGCGCGGAGCCCTCCAGGGGGGTGACTAGGAATTTGGGGATCCCTATTCACCTGGGGGGGAGGGGAATTTTTATTTATGGCCCCCACCCACCGCTCAGGGGTGGGGGCTGGGGGGGGCAATAGGTCCCCCTTTTAGTTTAGTTTAAAAGCCACCACTCGCGCGTCGTGGGTGGGGGCTCAGGAGGGGGGGATTATTTTTTTGTTAACAGTGAGCTGCTCACTGTTTAATAGACATGCCCCTACTAGCTGAGTCACATGCTGCACTGGCCAATTACAGCCATGCCATTAGTAGGCATGGCTGCAGGGCCGGATTGGGAAAATAATTAGGCCCGGGCATTTTTCAATTAGAGCGGCCCCCCAAGAAGGGGGCGGGGCCAGAGAGGGTGTGTTTTGTCATCACTAATGACAACACGCCCCCTCTCAAAGTGAGCATGCTGGTTCAATGCCCAGAGCCCTGCTGAAGAGCTCTGGCATTAGAAAAAGGCCCTGAATTTGTTCTGCGCAGCGCAAGCAAATGTAATAACATGCTTGCGCTGTGTTTGCTTTTAAATTGTCTCTGGTGTCTCTACAAGTGGGATACCAGAGGACAAAAGGGCCAGGAAAGTGCATGGTGCATGTGTTTGGCGCATGCTTGTGGGATTATCTGTGTGTAGAGTGTGGTGTGGTATTGTGTAAATAGGTGTAATATGTGTGGTGTAATATGTGTGGCTAGGGGCTGTAGAGAGTGTGTGTATAGGGGGCATAGTGTTATAGGGGATGCAGCGAGTGTGTGCATACGGGCGGTAGTGTGTGTGTATAGGTGACGTAATGTGTGTAGGGGTTGCAGAGAGGGTGTGTTTAGAGAATGTTGTATGTGTTTGCTGACACGGAATGTAGAGTGTGTGTGTGTGTAGGAGATCTACTGTGTAAAGGACCCAGTGTGTGTGTGTGTGTGTGTGTGTGTGTGTGTGTGTGTGTGTGTAGAGGATTAAGAGTGCATATAGGGTAAGGGATCTAGTGTGTATCTGGAGCGTAATGTGTGTAGTGGTGTAGTGTGAGGGGTGCGTATGTATATATATATATTTGGACTTATTGTATGTGTGAGGGGCGCAGTGTGTGTATGTAAGAGGGGTGCTGTGTGTGAGGGTGTTTTTATCTGCTGTCACATTCTAGGTTTCTAATTTTCTTTGTCTGTTAACTCACTGAGGGTTATTTTATATATATGTGTGTGTGCTGTATATGTGTGGGAGTGTGCTGTGTGTGTGAGTGAGGGTGCTGTGTGTGTCTGGGTGCTGTGTGTGTCTAGGGGGTGCTGTGTGTGCCTGGGTGCACTGTGTGTGTCTGGGGGTGCTGTGTGTGTCTGGGTGCGCTGTGTGTGTCTGGTGGCGCTTTGTGTGTCTGGGTGCAGTGTGTGTCTGGGGGTGCTGTGTGTGTCTGGGTGCAGTGTGTCTGGGGGTGCTGTGTGTGTCTGGGGGTGCTGTGTGTGTCTGGGTGCAGTGTGTGTCTGGGGTGCTGTGTGTGTCTGGGGGTGCAGTGTGTGTCTGGGGGTGCAGTGTCTGGGGGTGCTGTTTGTGTCTGGGGGTGCTGTGTGTGTCTGGGTACAGTGTGTGTCTGGGTGCAGTGTGTGTCTGGGGTGCTGTGTGTGTCTGTGGGTGCTGTGTGTGTCTGGGGTGCTGTGTGTGTCTGGGTTCTGTTTGTGTCTGGGGGTGCTGTGTGTGTGGGGCTGTGTGTGTCTGGGGGTGCTGTGTGTGTCTGGGGTGCTGTGTGTGTCTGGGTGCAGTGTGTGTCTGGGTGCAGTGTGTCTGTGGTGCTGTGTGTGTCTGGGGGTGCTGTGTGTGTCTGAGGTGCTGTGTGTCTGTGGTGCAGTGTGTGTCTGTCTGTGTGTGTCTGGGTGCAGCAGTGTGTGTCTGTGGGTGCTGTGTGTGTCTGGGTGCTGTTTGTGTCTGAGGGGTGCTTTGTGTGTCTGGGGGTGCTGTGTGTGGCTGGGGGTGCTGTGTCTGGGGGCTGTGTCTGGGGGGGCTGTGTCTGGGGAGGCTGTGTGTGTGAGTGAATGTATTTTTTATTTAAATGTAAATATATTTTTTTTACTTCTTACCTTTATCCTGGGAGCCTGGGAGGGGGGGAGCCGTGTTGCCATGAGGGTCATCCTTCCCTGGTGGTCCTAGTGGTGAGCGTGAACTCTAGCCTGTAGGCTAGAATTCACTCTCGCGAGATCTGAGCGTTGCCGCGGTAACCGCGGCAACGCTCAGAATCCCGCGAGAGGACCGGCGGAGCTGCTTGTTAGAGCTCCGCCGGGTCCTCTCTCCTCCCTCCCTCCCTCCCCAGCCTGCTGGCGGCCGCATCTCCATGCCTCTGGGCCGGTGAGGGAGATCTTTGGTCTCCCCACCGGCCCACGGAGGCACTATGCAGGGCCGGCGCTCGGATAGCGCCGGCCCTGCAGGGTCCGGCCGGGGAGATCCCCTGCCGGCCTCGGCCCCACGGCCATCGCGGCCCACCGGGCATTTGCCCGGTATGCCCGATGGCCAGTCCGGGCCTGCATGGCTGTGATGGCTTCTAAGGGCATACGAGTCAAACGCTTGTTGATTGGCTGCCCTGCAGCCTTTCAAAACGCGTCATTAAATTGCCGAACACCGAACTCCAACCCGAACATACAGTGATATGTCTGTGTTCGGGTCCGGGGTCCAAAAAACGTAATGTTCGGTACGAACCCAAACTTTTCAGTTCGGGTTCGCTCAACTCTATTTACTAGTTATATTAAAGGAACATTTAAAAACGTAATGGGACTTACTTTCAGAGGTTAAATCATTAATACGTTTCAGGAAGGGGACAAAGGAAATTGATTTTGCCTCCTGACTGTAGGCCTCTGACCCCCTTAAAACCACACACTGTACCCCTGATCACGAAGAGGAATAATGTTTACTAAACTCTTAAATAGTGAATTCAATGATGAATTGCCAACATATACACCCAAGCACTGACTATGGTGGCATTTCAGAATTCTCCATATCAAATACATTCTAATTCATTGCAATTTGGAGATTAATGAACACACCCCATACTCTGCCAACTAGTAACTTGGAGTTAATGCTATAGTGCCATCTAGTGGGCAAAACACAAATAGCAACACAATTGGTACCATGCAGACCCCTACTCCCATAATATACAGCGTATAGTGTTACTGAGTATCTCTCTGTCCCCGGGTACCATGCAGACCCCTACTCCCATAATATACAGCGTATAGTGTTACTGAGTATCTCTCTGTCCCCGGGTACCATGCAGACCCCTACTCCCATAATATACAGCGTATAGTGTTACTGAGTATCTCTCTGTCCCCGGGTATCGTGCAGACCCCTACTCCCATAATATACAGCGTATAGTGTTACTGAGTATCTCTCTGTCCCCGGGTATCGTGCAGACCCCTACTCCCATAATATACAGCGTATAGTGTTACTGAGTATCTCTCTGTCCCCGGGTACCATGCAGACCCCGACTCCCATAATATACAGCGTATAGTGTTACTGAGTATCTCTCTGTCCCCGGGTACCATGCAGACCCCTACTCCCATAATATACAGCGTATAGTGTTACTGAGTATCTCTCTGTCCCCGGGTACCATGCAGACCCCTACTCCCATAATATACAGCGTATAGTGTTACTGAGTATCTCTCTGTCCCCGGGTACCATGCAGACCCCTACTCCCATAATATACAGCGTATAGTGTTACTGAGTATCTCTCTGTCCCCGGGTACCATGCAGACCCCTACTCCCATAATATACAGCGTATAGTGTTACTGAGTATCTCTCTGTCCCCGGGTACCATGCAGACCCCTACTCCCATAATATACAGCGTATAGTGTTACTGAGTATCTCTCTGTCCCCAGGTACCATGCAGACCCCTACTCCCATAATATACAGTGTATAGTGTTACTGAGTATCTCTCTGTCCCCAGGTACCATGCAGACCCCTATAATATACAGCGTATAGTGTTACTGAGTATCTCTCTGTCCCCGGGTACCATGCAGACCCCTACTCCCATAATATACAGCGTATAGTGTTACTGAGTATCTCTCTGTCCCCAGGTACCATGCAGACCCCTACTCCCATAATATACAGTGTATAGTGTTACTGAGTATCTCTCTGTCCCCGGGTACCATGCAGACCCCTACTCCCATAATATACAGCGTATAGTGTTACTGAGTATCTCTCTGTCCCCGGGTACCATGCAGACCCCTACTCCCATAATATACAGCGTATAGTGTTACTGAGTATCTCTCTGTCCCCAGGTACCATGCAGACCCCTACTCCAGGGATATGCGGTGGTTTTTGGAGGGTCCCAGTCTTGGTCTCACTCTCCCTCCTGACCTCCAGTCTACTGTCAGTGCAATCAGATACATCGCTCAACAGCTGCAGGAACAAGAGGACTATGATGCAGTGAGTGTGATAGTCTGCAGAATTCATATGGATTAGTAGGAATAATCACTGAAGGAATAGTTTGCAGGGATCACATGGGAGAGATCAAGAAACAATACTCTGCAGAAGTGTCATGAGTCGGGTAAGGGAGTGATTCTCTGCAGTACTGTCATGGAATGCTAGGGGAGAGATACTCTGCAGGCTTATTGTGAGAGGGAATTAGTGTAATACTCTGCAGGACTGTCATGGAATGCTAGGGGAGAGATACTCTGCAGGCTTATTGTGAGAGGGAATTAGTGTAATACTCTGCAGGACTGTCATGGAATGCTAGGGGAGAGATACTCTGCAGGCTTATTGTGAGAGGGAGTTAGTGTAATACTCTGCAGGACTGTCATGGAATGCTAGGGGAGAGATACTCTGCAGGCTTATTGTGGGAGGGAGTGAGTGTAATACTCTGCAGGACTGTCATGCAATGCAGATATAATTGATTCTCTGCAAGGTCTTGTGAGAACGAGAGAGAGTGATAGTCTGCTGTGCTGTGGTGAAATGGATAGAGGAATGATCGTCTGCAGTCTATTGTAGAATGGCTAGTTATATTCTTCAGGGCTTTCAGAGAAGGGATAGGAAGTGATGCTCTGCAGAGCTCTGGTGGGAGCGATAATCTGCACTTCTAACCATTTCTCATTCTCTTGGCAGCTGAAGGAGGATTGGCAATACGTGGCAATGGTCGTTGACCGTCTCTTTCTCTGGACATTTATTATTTTCACCAGCCTCGGGACACTCACAATCTTCCTGGACGCCAGCTACAATTTACCCCCAGAAACCCCATTCCCGTGAAACCAAATAACCTCACATTTTACAAACAGGTACAAATTCTGGAGCCTTCGTCTTCAAATATAACTCCACCACAGCCTAACGTTCTACTGCACCTTCCCTCCCTCAACGCACAAATCTAACCTTCCACTATCACAGAGAACCTCACTCCCAATCAATCAATCAATCAATAATCCCCAAACAGAACCTTACTCCATATCAATCTATAAATCAATCAATCAATTCCCAGATAGAACCTCACTCCCAATCAATCAATCAATCAATCAATCCCCAAACAGAACCTTACTCCATATCAATCTATAAATCAATCAATCAATCTCCAAACAGAAACTTACTCCATATCAATCTTTAAATCAATCAATTCCCAGATAGAGCCTCACTCCCAATCAATCAATCAATCAATCCCCAAATCAAACCCCACTTCTTATCAATCAATCAATTAATCCTCATGTAGAACCTAACTTCCTAAATATCAATTAATCCCCAAAATCCATCATCGATTTCCACCCTCATATTTTGGACACAAAGAGTTTCTAATTCTCAGACTGAATATGATGTTCCTCAGCCATAGTTTGATATTGCAGTTTGGAAGAAAACGTGGATTCTGGAGGCAACGAGAAGAGAGGTCGATGATGGAGGTTGGACACTCTGCTATTTGCAAGGAGTTCATGTTATATCTCCTCATTTTTGTACATCGAAGGGAAATTCATATATTTCTCTTAGAGTTCTAATATCTCACCAGAAGTCTACCCTTCTTGCTCCCACAGTTTATACCATTAATTGGGGTGTTACCTCAACAAGAGTGAACGTCACAGACCCTGGGACATCTTTCAAGTCAGATATCTCCAACTTCACAAAACGAGTGCAATCAAAGTTATAAAGGGCTTAAAGTGAAAAAAGACATTGTTTTGGCTCCATTACAGCGTCATTGTAATGAATGTTTCTCCTACAAGCTGCCACTCCAGGGCATTGTTTTACATTATGTAAATATTACACTAGATCCAAACATTGATCAAATGTATTCAAACTCTTTAGTCGAAAGAGAAAATTAAAGATTTATATGTAGAGCCAGGTGTGTGCATTGATAATCAGGTAAACGTAACGTTGAACCTTATAATGAAGTGAAGACGAGAAGGTCCAGCTGGTGGTTACGCAGTCAGGTGGCCGACAAGGCGAATGTTACATTTAGTATAATATTAAATTGTGCGCTATCATTTATATTCAAATCAGATCTGTGCGGGCACTCCAGCATGGAACTGGCCTATTCTTTATTTTAACCTAATCAAAATAAATGTTAAAATTGTAAAAACCTAATTTGAAAAAGAAAAACCGAGTTAACACGACTGAAATAAAAATACTCACTTTCAAGTTGTCAAGTTCTTTATTTTAGAGGGACATCCCACACATTACATCTTCTTCCCTGACTACTGATCTCTCCTGGAAGTAGGACACACTAAAGACACTTCTGGACATTCAGAAATTGTTAACACTTTAGAATTGGTGTGAAATACTGATCGACAGCTCCCTAAAGAACGCATTTCTAGAAAGAGAACCCCCTTAGGTACAGAAATAGTTAATCCTACACAAAAATGAATCCTTACCCCAATCATCTCTTCAAGTAACCCTTACCCTCTATCATCTCTCCAATTAATCCTCACCCTCTGTCATCTCTCCAATTAATTATTGCCCAGAATATCTCTCCAATTAATCCTCACCCTCTGTCATCTCTCCAATTAATTATTGCCTAGAATATCTCTCCAATTAATCCTTACCCCAATCATCTCTCCAATTAATCCTTACCCTCTGTCATATCTCCAATTCATTCTAACCGAGAATATCTCTCCAATTAATCCTTACCCCACTATCTCTCCAATTAATCCTTACCCCAATATCTCTCCATTTAATCCTTACCCCAATATCTCTCTAATTAATCCTTACCCCAATCATATCTCCAATTAATCCTTACCCCACTCATATCTAAAATTAATCCTTACCCCAATATCTCTCCAATTAATCCTTACCCCAATCATATCTCCAATTAATCCTTACCCCACTCATATCTAAAATTAATCCTTACCCCAATATCTCTCCAATTAATCCTTAACCCCAATATCTCTCCATTTAATCCTTACCCCAATCATATCTCCAATTAATCCTTACCCCAATATCTCTCTAATTAATCCTTACCCCAATCATATCTCCAATTAATCCTTACCCCACTCATATCTAAAATTAATCCTTACCCCAATCATATCTCCAATTAATCCTTACCCCAATATCTCTCTTATTAATGCTTACCCCAATCATATCTCCAATTAATCCTTACCCCACTCATATTTAAAATTAATCCTTACCCCAATCATATCTCCAATTAATCCTTACCCCAATATCTCTCTAATTAATCCTTACCCCTAATATCTCTCCAATTAAGCCTTGCCCCAGTATCCCTCTAAGTAATCCTTACACCAATCATATCTCCAACTAATCCTTACCCCAATATCTCTCCAATTAGTAATTACCCAAACATCTCTCTAAGTAATCTTTACCCCAATATCTCTATAATGAATCTTTACCCCAATCATCTCTTCAATTAATCCTTACCCCAATATCTCTCTAATTAATCCTTACCCAGAATATCTCTCCAATTAGTCCTTACCCCAATCATCTCTCTAATTAAACCTTACCCCAATCAACTCTTCAATTAATCCTTACCCAGAATATCTCTCCAATTAATCCTTACCCCCAGTATCTCTACAATTAATCCTTACCCCCAGTATCTCTACAATTAATCCTTACCCCCAGTATATCTCTCCAATGAATCCTTACCCAGAATATCTCTCCAATGAATCCTTACCCCAATCATATCTTCAATTAATCCTTTAATCCTTAACCTCTGTCATATCTCCAGTTCATTCTTACCGAGAATATCTCTCTAATTAATCCTTACCCCTATATCTCTCCAATTAATCCTTACCCCAATATATCTCAAATTAATCTTTACCCAATATCTCTCCAATTAATCCTTACCCCCAATCATCTCCAATTAATCCTTACCCCAATATATCTGCAATGAATCCTGTGACAGATCCCTCTGTCTTGAACTGAAATGACCGTATTTCTCATTCGTTTATTTGATTCATGTTTCCCTGTTCCTGTGGACTCTATGCCGTTCCCTTTCTATGTACCGAATAAAACTACCGAATGGCCGGCCACCCAGTAGAGAAGTGTGCTGCTGGTTAACCTCTTGGCCCCATCAAAACGTTGAGGTTAACCGCAGACACCTCTTAATTGATACGGTAGTTGGGTGGCCGCCATTCGTATACCAAACACGAGGTCCCGGCCATTTTAAACACGCGAACGCACAGCAGCGTTCGACGTCCAACTCATGGAACTCAAAACAGATACATTTTGGCACGAACACCGCTGAAGCCGCCAACCTCCCTTCTTGTTCGGTAGAAAGTGCACGAACGGCCCTATATTCGGTAGTTTGTACCTGAATACACCATACCCCAGATTGCCATCCACGGCAATAGGACTGTGTGCATAGGATCTGAGCGCTATTCGGTACGTTGGTGCGCTCAGATGCTAGCTATCTGGGGACCTGTTGAATGCCTGTAAAATGTTATAAAATGTACCAGTTATGTATTTTCATGCCTTTTTGTTATTTTCATCTAAAATGGCGTTTAGGCTCTGTCCTGGGAGATAATTGAATTACTTCACAATTATCTCCCTGAGCAGAGCAGAGGGTTCTGGGTAACAAAAGGGGAATGGCTAAGTGTGTACCCTGTGATTGGTTGCTACAATGTCCTTGTCACAGTCCCCCATTTGGTCCCCTAGGGGAGTGTCCACCAGATGGGAGACTTGCATAAAAGCCGGGCATGTAGCCCTCATTAAACTAGATTCCTGCTGACCCTCAATACGGAGCTTTGTCTCGTCATTGGGGGTTATTCGTATGGAGTACGCTTGTTCGGATGTTTGGGAGAATATTTGATTTGTATGATTGCTGTTCGGCTGTTTGGGAGAATACTTGATTCGTGTGATTGCTGTTTGGGAAACGAATTGATCCGTACGGCTACTGTACGGTAGTTTGGAGCGCTCAGTGGCTACCTCTACATTCCGCTGTAACCCCTCTCCTACCGGGGGAGCCGTAACAAATCCTTACCCCAGTATCTCTCCAATTAATCCTTACCCAGTATCTCTCCAATTAATCCTTAATCCAATCATCTCTCCTGTGACATATCCATCTGTCTAAATTCTATCTGCTGGTTCGTCTAATTTAGTATACTTTCGTGGAATTACCTGCCTGTACGTCCCTGTTCGTCTATTTCAGATTATACCGAATAAAACTACCGAACGGACGGCCACCCAGAGGAGAAGTGTGCTGCTGGTTAACCTATTGGCCTCAATTAGAACGTTGTGGTTAACCGCAGACACCTCTTGATTAGAACCGTATGCAGGGTGGTCGTCGTTAGCATGTCGACCACGAGGCGGCGGCCATTTTAAACTCGCGAATGAACAGTGGTGAACAGCGCTCAAACTATGGAACTAGTAACGGACACTTTTTCTACCGAACACCGCTGAAACTGCCGACCGCCCTTCTTATCATCAGGCATGCGAATGCCGGTCCGTTCGGGACTTTTATTATACGAATGGACTTAACCCAGATAGTCGTCCCATGGAGTCAGTCGTATACCGAAAGAACAATGTGAAAGACTTTGACTCCATGGCGATTGAACTGTGTGCATTGGGTCTGAGCGCTATTCGCTAGCAATGTGCGCTCAGACCCAGGCTATTTGGGGATACGTTACACGAACTAAAAGCATTCGGTAGTTTTACAGTTATGGATTTTTATGTGTTTTTATTATACTCTGTAAAATGGCGGTTTGCCTCTATCCCTGGAGATAATTGGATTTCTTCCCAATTATCTCCAGGATAGAGAGGAGGGATTTACTTGTGCAAAGGTTTATAGCCGAGCCACTGTGATTGGCCACTGTACATTATGTGTCCCAGTCTCCCATCTGGTCCCCTAGGGGAGTGTCCACCAGGTGGGAGACCTGCATAGGTAGCCCTCAAGATGGAGCTTGGTCTCGTGCTTGGGGGGATTGCCTATTCTAGGAAAGAAAGAGTTCGGCTGATTCTTTGTTCGGGAGTTTGAAGTATTCTCCTATACTCCGTTCGGGAGTTTGGCAGTCTACAGCAACAGCGCCTGTGTCTCTAAAGGGGAAGATCAACTAAACGGCGGTTTCACTCCTTTAAGCTGGGAGTGTCTTTACATCTCCATTTAATCCTTACCCCAATTTTCTATCCAATTAATCCGTACCCCAGTATCTCTCCAAACAATTCTTACCCAGAATATCTCTCCAATTATTCCTTACCCCGATCATATCTCCAATTAATCCTTACCCCAATATATAATGTATAGTTTAACCTTTTGCAGAGTCGAACAAAGTTCTGAGCATGTTGGATGTCTGGCGTCAGCACTCACTACACTCACTGCACTCACTGCATTCACTACACTCTGCATTCACTGCACTCTCTGCATTCACTACACTCACTGCATTTACTACACTCACTGCACTTACTACACTCACTGCATTCACTGCACTCACTACACTAACTAAACACACTGCATTCACTGCACTCACTACACTCACTGCATTCACTACACTCACTGCACTCAGTGGATTCACTACACTCACTGCATTCATTGCACTAACTGGATTCACTACACTCACTGCACTCACTACACTCACTACACTCACTGCATTCACAGTGTACCGTCACAGATGCTTGCGTTCATTTCTTCCCATGTAGACCTCCTCTGTTCCTGAATGTAATCTCCTGCCATGGCTCTGGGTGACATTGGAATCGTGCAACTGGATTTAATTAAATTAACTTTATTCCCTTCCTTACACTTTCATTTCTGATCTAGAATGTGCAAAACACAGTATTAATGGGAGAAATATTACTTTACAAAGTGGGTAGTGGATACCTGGAATAGAATCCCAGTGGGAGAGTAACAGTGATATAGAAAGGGTAGTGGATACCTGGAATAGCCTTCCAGTGGGAGCAGTAACAGTGATATAGAAAAGGTAGTGGATACCTGGAATAGCCTTCCAGTGGGAGCAGTAACAGTGATATAGAAAGGGTAGTAGATACCTGGAATAGCCTTGCAGTGGTAGCAGTAACAGTGATATAGAAAGGGTAGTAGATACCTGGAATAGCCTTCCATTGGGAGCAGTAACAGTGACATAGAAAGGGTAGTAGAAACCTGGAATAGCCTTCCAGTGGGAGCAGTAACAGTGGTATAGAAAGGGTAGTAGATACCTGGAATAGCCTTCCAGTTGTAGCAGTAATAGTGATATAGAGAGGGTAGTAGATACCTGGAATAGCCTTCCAGTGGGAGCGGTAACAGTGATATAGAAAGGGTAGTAGATACCTGGAATAACCGTCCAGTGGAAGCAGTAACAGTGATATAGAAAGGGTAGTAGATACCTGGAATAGCCTTCCAGTGGGAGCAGTAACAGTGATATAGAAAGGGTAGTAGATACCTGGAATAGCTTTCCAGTGGGAGCAGTAACAGTGATATAGAAAGGGTAGTAGATACCTGGAATAGCCTTCCAGTGGGAGCAGTAACAGTGATATAGAAAGGGTAGTAGATACCTGGAATAGCCTTCCAGTGGGAGCAGTAACAGTGATATAGAAAGGGTAGTAGATACCTGGAATAGCCTTCCAGTGGGAGCAGTAACAGTGATATAGAAAGGGTATGAGATACCTGGAAAAGCCTTCCAGTTGTAGCAGTAATAGTGATATAGAAAGGGTAGTAGATACCTGGAATAGCCTTCCAGTGGGAGCGGTAACAGTGATTCAGAAAGGGTAGTAGATACCTGGAATAACCTTCCAGTGGAAGCAGTAACAGTGATATAGAAAGGGTAGTAGATACCTGGAATAGCCTTCCAGTGGGATGCAGTAACAATGATATAGAAAGGGTAGTAGATAGCTGGAATAACATTCCAGTGGGAGCAGTAACAGTGATATAGAAAGGGTAGTAGATACCTGGAATAGCCTTCCAGTGGGAGCAGTAACAGTGATATAGAAAGGGTAGTAGATACCTGGAATAGCCTTCCAGTGGGAGCAGTAACAGTGATATAGAAAGGGTAGTAGATACCTGGAAACCTTCCAGTAGATAGTAACAGTGATATAGAAGGAAGTAGTACTGGAATAGCCTTCCAGTGGGAGCGGTAACAGTGACATAAAGAAAAGGTAGTAGATAGCTGGAATAACCTTCCAGTAGAACGTAGCACAATGACCGCGAAAGAGGTAAAGCGGAAATACACGGAATAGCCTTCCAGTAGAACAGTAACGTGATATAGAAAAGTATAGGAATACCTGGAACAGCCTTCCAGTGGGAGCAGTAACAGTGATATAGAAAGGGTAGTAGATACCCGGAATAGCCTTCCAGTGGGAGCGGTAACAGTGATTCAGAAAGGGTAGTAGATACCTGGAATAACCTTCCAGTGGAAGCAGTAACAGTGATATAGAAAGGGTAGTAGATACCTGGAAAAGCCTTCCAGTGGGATCGGTACCAATGATATAGAAAGGGTAGTAGATAGCTGGAATAGCCTTCCAGTGAGATCGGTAACAGTGATATAGAAGGGGTAGTAGATAGCTGGAATAGCCTGCCAGTGGGAGCAGTAACAGTGATATAGAAAGGGTAGTAGATACCTGGAATAGCCTTCCAGTGGGAGCAGTAACAGTGATATAGAAAGGGTAGTAGATACCTGGAATATTCTTCCAGTGGAAGCAGTAACAGTGATATAGAAATGGTAGTAGATACCTGGAATAGCCTGCCAGTGGGAGCGGTAACAGTGATATAGAAAGGGTAGAAGATACCGGGAATAGCCTTACAGTGGGAGCAGTCACAATGATATAGAAAGGGTAGTAGATAGCTGGAATAGCCTTCCAGTGGGAGCGGTAACAGTGATATAGAAAGGGTAGAAGATAACTGGAATAGCCTTCCAGTGGGAGCAGTAACAGCGATATAGAAAGGGTAGTAGATATCTGGAATAGCCTTCCATTGGGAGCAGTAACAGGGATATAGAAAGGGTAGTAGATACCAGGAATAGCCTTCCAGTGGGAGCAGTAACAGTGATATAGAAAGGGTAGAAGATACCTGGAATAGCCTTCCAGTGGGA